TACAAAATCTCCATTTTAATTTCTTTGATCACTGCATCCGGACCTTTGTTTTTCTCTTGAAACAATATTCTATTCCTTTCTCTCCATAAGATGTAAACTATAGTGACCATAGCCATTTTCTTAAGTTTTTGAGTTGAACCCTTCACTCTCAGACAGGTAGAGAACCAGTGCACACATTGGTTCCAATTACAAAATTTCCATCTACTTTGGAGCCAATCCAACACCCCATTCCATACCTGGCATGAAAAAGGACATTCAAAAAATAAATGATCTCTGGATTCCACCGAAGCAGAGCATAAGCAACAGGAGTTAGTGTTTGCAATCCCCCACTTCAAAATTCTGTCCTGTGTCAACAATCTATTCTGAATTGCTAGCCAGCATATGAAAGAGTGCTTAGGGATGTTTAGTCTCTCCCAGATAAGCTTTGACCATGCAACATTACTTGCACTAGGATACAAGCACTTATATAGGGCAGAGAGTTTAATTTTTCCATCCATATTGCAGGAATATATCATATTCTTCAAGTTTTCCACCCCACCACAGAAAGAAATGGCTTTGTCTCTTGTCTTGAGCAGTTGTCTCCACATCCATGAGTCTCCACATCTTATGTTCACATGCCAGATATCACTATTCTTCAAATACGTACCATGGATCCACTTAATCCATAATAACTCCTTGTTTATATGAATATGCCATATACACCTCAAGGCAGATGCATAATTCCAAATAGGAGCAGAGAACAACCCCAATCCTCCCTGATCCTTCCTTAAACATATTTTTTCCCATGACACAAGAGGAGTCCTAAAAGTATGAGTTGATTTTCCCCATAAAAACCCCTGCACAATGAATCAACCCTCTGCATAACCTTAATTGGGAGGACAAAATTAGAGGTCCAGAAGGTTTGAATACTCAGTATCACACTTTTGATTACTTGTATTCTACCTGCATATGAGAGGGTTTTATGCTTCTGCCATGAATTGAATTGGTCTTCTATCTTTGTAAATAAAAGATTACAGTCCAGGTAAGACAATCTCTTGGATACTAGGGGAACACCTAAATATTTAAAAGGCAGTTCACCCAATTTGAATCCCAACAGGTTGATGATAGAAGACTTTGTTAAATCATCCACACCCCCTAAGAAAATAGAACATTTATCAGGGTTGGCTTCAAGACCTGTAATATTACCAAACTCTTGGACACACTGGTGAAGTTTCTGTATAGAGTAGTGGTCAGCTTTAGAAAATAATAGGAGATCATCCGCAAAGACCAAGTGTGTAATTTTGAGCCTCTTATATTTAGGGTGGAATTTGAACATCCTGTCATGATATAGAAGATCTAACTTCCTTGAGAGGTACTCCATTCCTAGGATGAAGAGGTAAGGGGAGAGAGAGTCACCTTGCCTTAAGCCACGTTCACCTTTAAAATAGCCATGTAGAGATCCATTAAGAGAGATTGAATAGCTTGGTGAAGTGATACATGCCATAATCCATTTGATCATAGAAGCTGGAAAACCCAGACCCTGATTGAATTGGTCTTCTATCTTTGTAAATAAAAGATTACAGTCCAGGTAAGACAATCTCTTGGATACTAGGGGAACACCTAAATATTTAAAAGGCAGTTCACCCAATTTGAATCCCAACAGGTTGATGATAGAAGACTTTGTTAAATCATCCACACCCCCTAAGAAAATAGAACATTTATTAGGGTTGGCTTCAAGACCTGTAATATTTCCAAACTCTTGAACACACTGGTGAAGCTTCTGTATAGAGTAGTGATCAGCTTTAGAAAATAATAGGAGATCATCCGCAAAGACCAAGTGTGTAATTTTGAGCCTCTTATATTTAGGGTGGAATTTGAACATCCTGTCATGATATAGAAGATCTAACTTCCTTGAGAGGTACTCCATTCCTAGGATGAAGAGGTAAGGGGAGAGAGAGTCACCTTGCCTTAAGCCACGTTCACCTTTAAAATAGCCATGTAGAGATCCATTAAGAGAGATTGAATAGCTTGGTGAAGTGATACATGCCATAATCCATTTGATCATAGAGGCTGGAAAACCCAGACCTTGAAGCAACAAATAGATATCATTAACTGAAAAGAAGTTGCATGTTTTTACCTCTCATCATGAGAGCGGGCAGTTTTATAAGTGAGACATCCTTCACTTTTACAAAGAAGTGAAACATCCTTCACTTTTACAAAAATTACACCATACATGTGTGTGTAAATACAAAAGGAAACCAATGATTATCAACCACTAAAAAGTTAACATTGACCACATTCATCATATAGTTCGGAGCAACCAAACCATCAACCGACCAAAGCAAATAGCTACCCCGAACTTTGTCTGCTATAGTAACTTTGATATCCGAAAACTACCATTTCCAGCAGAAATAATTCAGTCCTGCTACAGGGATCTCTGAATACAGCAAACAAGCCACTCTCTGTTATTGTTTTTGCACTTTCTAACAGTTGTACTCATTTTTATTCTATATCCAAATTTTTTCATTTTATTTTGTGTATCATGGTCCTCGTTTCATATTCATGTCTGTAATAGTTGATTTTTTAATGTTTTCCTTTTTCATTTTACTGATTGGGTGCTTGCAACAGATGGGTGGGAGAGTTGATTGGTAAAATCTGATGATAAAATCTGATTGGAAGGAGACAAAGCATTGGGAGAGACTCGATGAAAGAAGAACTCGTCTTGATAATTAATGGGCTCGCCATAATCTTTATCATTTAAATTCTAATTATTCATGGTTTATTGCTTCACTGTCATGGGTCTTTGAATAGGTTTTCATTTGTTAGATTTGAATTTCAGTTAGGAGTCGGAGGATGTGGAGAAGTTGTGAACCATGTAATTATCACTTCATTGAATTTATTGACAAAGCTTGTATCGAACACACATTATTTTTTAATTGATTAAGTTAATTTCTTATTTATGCTGGTAATTATTTGTTTCATTTGAATGATACCATGTATTGAAATAAATGATTAGAAATAGTTGAATGTCATTGCTACAGTTTGATGCGAGAATAAGCAGTAATAAATTTGGTGAAAATGATTTTTAATATCTTATAGCAACGGTTTTTAGTTGTTAATATACCTTAGCGATGGTTAGGATTTGCTGATGTGGATGTTTTATTTTTTTTTAAAATAAATATTAAATCTTATAGTAACGGTTGCCTTTTGTTGTTAATAGACTTTAGCAACAATTATGATTTACTGACGTGGATTTTTTATTATTTTATAAAATTTAATCTAATAGCAACGATTGTTATATTTGTAACGGGTTTAGATCGTTGCAATAAGCTAATTGCAACGCCATTAATAGTAACAGATTATTTGCAACGGTTTTAACTATTGTTAATGTATTAGAAACGGTTCATACCGTTACTAAAAGACCTATAAGCAACGGTTGGAACCATTGCTATAAAGGGCTTTTGTAGTAGTGACAATGTCTGTTATTTTTTTTAATCATTGTGGGGGTATGATTTTGTGACAAAAGTTTGATTTTGCTATATTTTCAATAATTTGTAAGTACGAGGACTTGAACTGGGACCTAACCCTAATTTACTGCAATTATTATACAAGGAACATATATACGGTAATTGTTTTCTTTGATAAATTGTCGGTATGTGATGAAGGGGATGTTATTGATCCTCGAGAGTAAACATATGAGCAAAAAATTTATGAGGAGTGTTGTATTTTTTTCGTATGATATTATTGTATGCTAAGCACAGAATTCCGTAATTTTGTTCGTAACTATTAATTCATTTCTCATCAAAAAAGATGCCAAAGACCACAAACAAACTGAAATTCTAACATTTCCAAAAATATGGAACTGAGAATTCTAGAGTTGAAACTACAAAGATTTCCAAACAGTGGAACTCGAATTAAATTTGTAATTTTTAAATTGTAGAATTGAAGAATTTCAAATCAATTCATAGAATTTAAAAAGGAGAAGAGAAAATTGGGAATAAGAAAATGAAGAGGGTTAAACTTATCATTCGGGACTACCCTTGTTAGTTTGTTTCTTTACCCAACATAGAATAATAACGACTACAAAAGAATTTGAAAATATATTTCCACATTAGTTGTTCCTTACCCATGCCCGTATACTGGGTTCAATAGGTATTTCTCATCTAAAAAACCCTATTTATTTTAGCCTTAATTGCAGTTACAAACACTATGTTTTTCCCTATTTTGCACTTTCATAACTTTAGACTTATATACCCTAAAGATTTTAAAATTAGCACTTAAGTACAATAAGTTATGCAGCAAGAACTTATCCTCGAAAATTCTCATACATCAGTCACACACTAACTTTAGATTTTTTTTAACCCTCAATTTATTAAAATTTGCTAGAACTATCGTAGTTCTATTTTAACCTACCCTAATTCTAGGATTTTGATAGGTTGACAATAAATTTAACAAATATTAAAAGTTAAATGTTCTAAAATTAGCATGTGAGTGTCATATTAGAATTTTCGAAGAAAAATTTTCATATTTGTATAACTGAGGGTATCAAAGTCTAAATTTTAAAACTTTAGGACATGTATATGAGTGCTGCGAAGTAGGATAAACTATAGTAGGTTATTTAAGTGCAATTAAGCCTTTGTTTTGCGTGATTTCCTCTTTTAGCCATCAGTACGTACGCAATTTCTGGATGAGACCGTTAAAGCTTCTCTAAGGGCATCTCCAACAGCTTCTCCAAAATTTTCTTCAAAATGGGGGAAGCAAAAGTCATATTCTTCAAATTATTTTTACACCAACTCCAACAGCTTTCCCATTTTGAAGAATCTATTTTTTCCTCAAAAAATGTGAAGAATGCTGCAGATTTGGGGAAGCTTCTCCATTTTTTCTCCTACATCCCTATTTTAGAGAATGAGATGTAAAATCTGTTGAACCAAAAACCTAACTAAATTCTCCAAAAGTGAGAAACGGAGAAGCTGTTGGAGATTCTCTAACATCTTTATCCACGTCACAGTCCAGCCGCACATTTCTGATCCGTTTCCCTCTACGAACACTTGATGTTCGCTCTATTGACCCAGAGACACAAACAATGGCTCTTGCTTCTCTCTCCCCCTTTCTCTCTCCTCTCTCCTCTCTATCTCTCTCTCATCAAGCCCTCAAACAGTCTCCACCACCACCATCCTCTCTCTTCCTCTTTGTAACCCGAAACCCGTTTTTTTCTTCGCCGTCCTCATCAACTGCCCGTCACTCAATACCCAATTCTAATAACAACGACAGCGTGAGCTCAGAGAGCTCTTCATCGAGCTTTCTTAATGAGGAGTTGTTGAGAAGGGTCTCCGCTGCTAAGGATGCAGATCAAGCTTTCGATATGGTTGTGGAAGCCAATGGGGGAGTTGTTGGTGGTGAGATCGGCAATGAGGATTGCCGGGCGATCATTGCGGCTGCCATTGATCGCGGGAATGTAGAACTCGGGTTGTCGGTTTTTCATGCTATGAGAGCTGCGCTAGGGCAAGGTGAGGCCTTTGTATGATTTTGGTTAGGTTTGGCCATGGATAGTTGATATGTTAAATGGGTATTAATTATAAAGCTTTCTTAAAATGTTTTATATTCTGCATGTGGTAGGGAGATAGCCGAATGGACAATATCATTCTATTTGGCTTATTTGGTTTATGTTGCGCCTCAAAGATGAACTCTTGATAGGGTAGTGGAATTTCAATAAATGATCTTCTAACTTGGGTTCATCTTAATCTAGCAATTAGTCAATACATGATTGTATAATGAGACCACTGATAATGAGCTGAGGCTAATATAGACCTACGGCATTCAATCCAAGTTATTTAATATTAGGCACTCATAAGAACACTCCATTTCATACTTTTGGCTAAAGTTTGTTTTCACTAGCGTACTTTCTTTTACTAGGTGCTTGACATGATGTGAGAGGAGTTGAAATATCCACCTTGCTCACATTTAGTGAGGCTGCCAAACCGAAACCACAATTTTCTTCCTGAACACCTTAGCTCAGATAGCTTGAGTAACGAGTTTGCTGATTTGTTTGTTTATTTTTTATGTTTTTAGTACATTAACTTTGGATATTTGTATGGTTTGATAAATCATAATGGGAAGTTTAAAAAAAAAAAAATCATTTGCGTGGGTACTAAAGTGAATTCTCTGACGACAAAGATGATGCCAGTAGTACTACCTAATTCACCCATTTCATCATAGGCCGCGACCTCCATATCATCCTTCCATCAGCCAAAACACCCTTCATTGCTTCTATCCCCTCCATGTGTTTTTGCATCGCTAGATTGGCGACTATGAACTAAGTGGCAGCAGGGACCTACTGATTCTATGAGCTATCTCACTGTTTTTATTTTACTGTATGGGTTTTCCTTGCCTGTTAACTTTCTTTGAGACTTACAATATTATCATCGAAAGAGGGAGTTTGAACTTCGAATATTTAATTCAACGATAACTGGAATCATGTTTTGTAAATTGAACTATTGAAGTAATTTATTTTCAGTTTTATTTTGAATGACTAATCAACGTATAATTTACTTCATAGAAATACATGGTAAATAATTTGGAGTGAATTATGCGGAGAGAATTGCAATATCGAGGTTAAGATACAAAATAAAGATGTTGGATAGAGTAGTGAGGATATCACAAAATTCAATTATGATCACTCTTGTTCCATGATTGTTGAATAAATTAGATTTTCTAGCACTGACACTCAACCGGCAATAGAAATATTATCAAAGCTAAGCTTGACAATGGTGTGCAAGAGTTTTAGATGTAAAGCCATTGTGAGAAAATCCGCAAGTAGTTGTCCATAGAGAAACATAGTTCACAAAAAAAAGACGAGGCGATGACCGCATACAAGAAAAAAAAGACCGACAAGATTGTACACGAGAATATGGTTTAGTGTACGTCATCAAGTGCAAGGCGCAATGCACGCACTAGTCCCCTTATGTGCATCATGCACAAAGCACAATGCGATGCGCGCAGCGCGCAAGTCACTAAAGCTAGGCAGCAAACACATTTTATCCAACATTAGATAAACAAGTTGAAAGGAGCATATTTTTTATGTTTTGACATAAAAAACTTACAAAAATAGACTTTTACCTACTAAACAAATAAAAGGTCTTAATTAACAAGTTGAAAGGAGCATATTTTTTATGTAGAGAGGTTGTTTTTGAGATTCGTACATGTGACCTCCATGTCACACATCTACTATATATAGTGAAGTTCATTATTTCCTGCAAATGTCAAGTCAAGATTAATACCCCTACAAAAATAGAAAAGGCAAAATTATTATTCATCTAACTCTAGTATCTCCTAAAGAATAGGAGGGTTGTATAAGAAGGTATAGATATTAACCCAATTAACAAAATACCTAAATAACTAAACATTTAATAATATCTAACACTCCATCTTAAGCTGACCATATCTCAAAGATCCTTAGTTTAATACACATAAAAACAAAATAAATAGATAAAGAACTTTGATGAAGAAGCCATAAAGGTGTAACATCAAGAAAAGCATTTCAACTTATTAACCGAAGATAACTCTAGCACAGATGAGCCAGAATAAAGTCATAATAATTACAAGAAAAATCCTCGATTTTGTAACCAGCAATAGACAAACCATAGCAGTAGTAGAGTCATATTAGTTGTAGGAGACCCTTGATATATTATTCAAGCCTTGTAAACCTATATCGAGTCTAGAAGAAACCCAATATAGGTCAATCAATAGAAACACTAGATAGATCACTAGGAGGGACAGCCGTTGAAAACCATAGGCATGTCAGCCAATATAAAAAAGCGAAAAAGAAAAGTCCTTAATGGATCTGTCACTCATTTGCCTGTTAAATCTTGATTTCGACGTCTTTTGACGAGAAAGATGAACAATTCAAGAAATATTCTTGAAAAAAGAATAGCAATGTCGGAAGATCTCATCAAAGGACTGGACGTTGAAAGCTAATACCAAAAGATATCAAATGGGGGTACTGCTCACGTGATGAACATTAATTTGGGGATCCTGTTCATGTGATGAATAGTAACCTGATACTGTTCACAGTATGAACAGTGACAGCTATAAACAGTTTATTTGGAGTCAGGGTTTTAAGGTTTTTTCTTAGGGGCTGTTCGTTTGGCCAAAAAAACCTGGAAATCAAAAAATAGGAAACCTATTTCCTATTATAATGGTTTTGAAGTTGTTTGGTTGGCTTAAAAAAGAAGGAAATTATAGAATAGGAGATGAGATGAGATGAGTTGTCACCTTATTATTGGATGATGTGAGTGATTTTTTAAAAAAACTTATTTTGAGGTTGTTTGGTTGGTTAAAAAAATAAGAAAATGAATTGGAGGTATATTATTGGATGATGTTTTGAGGTTGTTTGTGTTTGGTTCGTTTTTAAAAATAAGAAAATAGATGAGATGAGATGAGTTGGAGGTATATTATTGGATGATGTGACACGTACTTAAGAAAATTGATTTCTTGTTTTTTTTTTTGAGGAAATGGATGAAAAGGAATGTTTAATGAGATGAAATGAGTTGTCACAATATTATTGGATGATGTGTGTGATTTTTAAAAATGAGATAAAATGAGATGTGATGAGTTGGATGATGTGACACATTTCTTGTGTTTGTTTTATTTTTAAAGGTAAGAAAGGAGATGAAATGAGATGAGTTGGAGGATAAAAATAATATTTTATTAGATGTTGTGGGTGAGTTTTAGGGATGTAAATTGATAAAAATATTATTTTATTGATTTCCTTGTACCGATTTCCTTTTCTTGGTTTTTAGGAAACCAACCAAACAGCCCCTTAGAAGATTTTGAGATTGGTCAAAGTTTTTGTAGAAGCCAAAGTTGTTGAAGCCAAAGATGTTATCAAAGCTACAGAGGTTGTCGAATCTGTCTAGGAGAAGCGTGGAGGCAGTGCTTGCGACAAACTCCCCTCGGTAGCCTCGAGATGTTGAAAGAGAGGAGAAACTCTCTAAGATCAATAGGTACGCTCTAATATTTCATAGTATTTATCTAACCCTAATCTCACTTAAATAAAAATTAGGATGGTTACATGAGCAGGTATGGATATTACCCAAATACTTAAATCATTGTACACTTAATAACATCATCTAACAAAATCAAATAGTCTACAAAACAAATCTAACAAGTAACAAAACAAGGGAATGTTTAGTCATCCTCTTCAACATTATCATCATCCATTTCAAGTGGAATATCCTTATCCTCAGTTTTCTCTAGTTTTTCATTAAAATCTTCTTCTTCATCCTCTAACTTGGTATCCGGCTCCCTCCTATTAGATGATGAAGCGACAACACTTAAAGATCATCGAACCTTAGCTATAAGGCTCTAAATTCAGTTTAATTACTTCTTCAACTCCCATTGCATCAGCCACAACACCTCATGTAATGTTACCACCTCAACCACTAAGTCATTCTCTATAATTTTGTCTGCAATAAATTCCCCTAATGACCACTCATTCCTTTCATCTATGCTAGTCAACTTTATTGCACCAACAATATCTCTACATCAAATCTCTCCTTCATAGCCTAGTTGTATAATTGTATTTGCAATATACTTAGATCTTGCAACCTTTTATGGTCTAACCTATTCCTCTTCTTGTTGTGTATTTGCAACTCATACAAAGTAATCAAATTAGCATTCTAAATTCTTATGTAGATCTATTTTTTTAATTAAAAGAAACTAAACATACTTACTCGAAAGTACTCCAGAATCTCACACCTAGAGGAGCTACAAGTGAGACTAAGGATTCTTGTAGCAAGTTTTTTTTTAATTTGGAGCTGTTGCACCATAAAAATCCCCCTGATCAATTATCAAGATAAACAAAGTGATCAATGTGGCAATTTATTGCTGCCAAAAAGTACGTGTACATAGTCAATTGATTGATATTCACTTCGGGACTTCTTTTTGTGGTTTCTAATAGTTATATCCATACTAACTAGGTCCTCCACTTGTTTGTATAACGTAATTCTACATAAACTTTATCTTGGTAATTGGG